TGACATGCATTAAATGCCTTGAAAGACTAAACCGACAGGACAACTATCATGTGTTTCATGGTCGAACTTGATGGAATCGACAAGGTATAATCCGATCGAGCCGTTGAAAATCATATCGTTTCTCTCCATATTTCTTTCTGAAAAAACGAGGGGACTATCTGTATACGGTCAAAATGAATTTCAGCCTTGGCATGTATGGTACGGTTCGAAGGGTGGTGTATCGAAGTAAGATCCCGAAGGGGGGAACGAACTAACCTAGAGCCCGGGGAGGCTGGTCCGTGTTGAGATCGATATCATAATCAAACTCGAACAAGAATCGAACTATGGCGCAGGTAGATCTATCGTGCTGATAATCCAAAAACCAACCTACATCGACCTGGAATCCATCCGAGGGCTCGACCATGATCGGGCTCGAGCCAAGATCACGAGGTCGAGCCGAAGTCAAGCTCGAACCAAAATCGAGGATTCTAAACAAGATCGAGCTCGCAGACAAAAGCCGTTGTAATCCCACTAGAGGGAATCTTGGCAGAAATTATGGAAAAGCTGATTTATCATGGGTCTCCCACTGCATGTTTATTTTATTATACTTGGAGCCAAACCCTTTTTACTATAAAAGGGCTTGTTTTATCATTTCTTTAGGGGATCTTCTGAGAGATTTAGACTATCAAAAACTGTATTATTTTCCTCTATAAGCAAGAGTGATCTTTCTAGTTCCTTAGATTGATTCTATTTTGTTAAATCCTAAATTCACTGTTCATAATTGATTCGCCTGGATTACGCTTTCGTCACCCTATATTCATCCTTTTATTTATCCTAGCATTCTGTATTAAGTTGTACCACATATCTTCAGAACTGCGTATAAATTCAACTATATCTATTTTTTCGGGTAAACATATATGTAGAAAAATTTTGTGGTAAATGATATATACTCCCATTCTTTTTCCAAAGTAGGAGTAGTGAAACTTCCAAAGGGTGAGTAAAGATGGAAACACGACTTCCTCAAGGTGAATTACTTATTTCTACACCTTTGACATACTTTGGTATTTAATTCTACTATTTAAATTTTGATCCTCCGGTTACTAAAAGTACTACAACCTGCAAATATACTCAAAACACAAAAAAAGAAAGCTATGGGTGAAAGAAGCAAATTAAACCGAAAGTTCAAAGAATGAGCCGTGCAACTTTTTAGCTGTTGAAAATTCTTATGTTTCACTGAAACTATTTACCCCTCAAAGTAGATTTAGTTAGATACTTAAGAAAGTTTTATGCAAGTTATGCAGACAGCTAGACGCAAAGTAATTTAGCACATGAACAACATATCATATAGTCAAACTCAAGACGAAAAGAAACAGTGGAGGATCTCAGTTTTAAATTCCCATGTCTAACTTTTTTTTTTTTTATAATCGTAGTGTCCGGTCCAGTTTGCGCGCACCTTCACTAATTCCACGGGATACCTGTCACCTCCCACCATCAACATGTACCAGGTAACTCTATCCACCAAGGCTTGGATAGATGGGAAGAAATCACCTAGTATTTGCCTCCGCTGGAATTTGAACCCGAGACCTCAAGATTTTCGCTCACTTCATTGACCATTAGGCCACGCCCTTGTGTGCAAATTCCCATGTCTAACTAAACTATCAGACTTTTCTTATATTTTTTCTAATGTTTTAAACATGTTGATATTTCTTTCTATTATTTTTTAACAAGTCTACTCTGGTGTCTCCAAGTTTTCTACCTACAAATAATAACTAACATACTCCATGGGTTTCCAAGTAACCAAGCTGTTGTAAAGCACCGACTAAATTCGGGGGGAAAAAAAGTCTCATGAACCAACTTTTGATAGTTGGTGTGATATCGTGCTACTCTGTTTTAGGAAGAGTTTCGAAAGAGAAATTGTCCCTTCTCCCATAGTTTCCATTCATCAGTTTCAGACTTTCAGTATCGCTTAACCCAAGAATATGTTGACTTTAAAGATGATGAATAAAATTTAAATCTTTTGAAAGTGAAGCATGGAAGAATTACAGGGAGAATAGCTAACCAAATTCGACACCGCAAGGTTGTTGTTCGATATGGAGGAAGGAAATCGTATGTAGACTCCTCGGAGGAGGTAACAGTGCCTCATTTTCATTAATCTTTGGAACAGACTCCACAATAGTGAACCAGTCGAAGACCCGTTCAAACTGACCGATGTGTATTGAATAGGGTTGTGGATCTCTAACTTTGGCAGTTGAAATGAGATACGTCTCGAAAAGTTAGAACAACTTATCACATCGTTCAATGTCATCATCATACAGTATTACACAAATTTGTTCTTCTTAAATTTTTATTGAGACGAATAATGCAGTAAATATTGGAAGAGTACAAGTTAGAACAATTATTGTAACTCCACTTACATTTTCATCTTGAACAATTGTTGTTTGAAACTGAACCCGTCGATCCTACTTTCTCTTGGCCGAAATTTGTCCGTGAGCTGAACTTTGCAAGTCCATTCTTTAGTCGATGGTGTAATTTGATTGATCGTAAGTCTTTGTTCCATTCTATCAGTATAATCTGCATATTAATAACAACAAACCTGTAACAACAAAGCATCCAAATATAGAGCATCAAATTTACCGACAAATAAAGTGACAGAAGCTACATGGCAATAGCTTATTCATTAAAATGCAAAACTATAGATATCTTATAAGATTAGGCACGATTATTTAATTACTTCAATTAGCTGAACGTACTTTTCGAAATTAAATTCAGTGGAAAATTATATTAAACTCTTCTCAAATGAAACTCTTCTGCCACTTTATTTATCAGTAAATTTGCCGCCCTATATTTGGATGCTTTGTTCTTATAATTTTGCTGTTGTTAATATGCAGATTATACTGATAGAATGGAACAAAGACTTGCGATCAATCAAATTACACCATCGACTAAAGAATGGACTTGCAAAGTTCAGCCCGTGGACAAATTTCGGCCAAGAGAAAGCAGGGATCAGCGGGTTCAGTTTCAAACAATAATTGTTCAAGATGAAAACGTAAGTGGAGTTACAACTCGACGACTATGTCTCTTTGTCACCTTGCCAAGTTGAAGTCTGAAGAATAAGCTATATGTCCCTTCTTGAAATTGGAACTCGAGATCCCCATCAACTTCAAGCCACCAGATTTGTTGAAGATAAGCTACAGTTTGGAATCTACATGAAGAATGAGAATATCAGTATCAATCAGCCAATTCATTACATATGAGGACGTACAAATTAACTTTAAAGATATTGTACACAATAAAGATTGCTAACGGTGTGATTATATATGGGGAATTAATTGAAAATCCACTTTAAAATTTCACTTGACCCACTGAGAAAACCTCGACATATTGAACCACCATTATACTATTAAAGATCAGACCGAGCACCAGGCAAATCAGAGAGAAAACAAAAAGTTCCTCTCTCCATCTTTCAACTTCATCCTAAATTAACTATTTCTGGATATCATTAGTGACTTGTTTGTGATACTTGTAATTTAACAGAGTAATTTTGAAAAATGGACAGATCCAACTTCCATCAGACCAACAAATCAAAGGCAGAGCTAAAAAATAATAAACCGGTGAAACTTGTAACTCAATAAACCAAGCGATTAATTTGATCTTTGTATACAGTAATGATTTTTTTTCAAATAATAAAACAGGCAAGATTTACATAGCAGTGAATCTCACTTACTGAATTTATGTGACATCTTTTGGACTGGCAGTAGCTTAAGCTTTCAACTCGGAAAACGAAAATATCTTTAGAAGAATAATCAGCTCAAGATAACTGCCGTCACTTTGGATTTCTTATGACATACTCTGTCGTTTTATCAAGGATTTCTTGGAACTTCAAAATTTTAAATTATGTATTGAGCTAATATATGATTTATGATTCTATAAATCAGATATATAGATTCTTTAAAGGCAAAAATATTGTTGAGATAATCCTGCTAATTGTATTATCTACCTTTTGAGTAGTACACTTCTGGGGTGATATTTCAATGTCGACTACTAATTGGATTCTTACAAAAAAAAAAAAAATGTAAACCTTTTTAACACAAGAAAAAAGAAGAAGTCAAGTCTATTAGAACAGAGGAGTACCGCTAGGTAAACCTTTTCTTCTGTGGTGCACATAGAAAAACCAGACCCCTCCGACACTTCAGCGGTTGAACTCCTAAAAAGTCCAATCTCAGATTTTCCAAGAAGTCACTTATCTGTAATAACAACCAGATTGTTATATCAGTTAAGAAGCTTAAATAGAAGCCTGAAGCTTATCAAGATGAAACAAAAATCATCCAACTGTAACAAAAAGAACCTAGTCTAATTTGTCAGCAAAAAAAGTATACGGTGCGGCGAAAGCCTAAAAAAGAGGTAAAAAGACAGCAAATGCAATACTCAATAAATAAAATATCCATATTTCACCACAATATTCCATTGATAGCCCTGTGTCAGGTTTCAAAATTACCTGAGCAATAAATTGAGGCTATAAGGATTGAACAGAATTTACAGTGTGCAACTTTTTATGGCCGTTACGAAGTTCAGATATTCTTATTCATATACAATTGATCACAAGAAATGACAGCAAAAGCTGTTTTTGTAAATTAAGACCACACATTTAAATCAGTTAATATTGTGAGTTAACATTTATTGAAACAGCATAATAGAAAAAAATAGGTTAATAGTAGTTTCTTTCGAACAATTTCTCAAACATTTCTAATGCAAACTCAAATGCACTTTGTATAATAACAAACTCAAATCCATTCTTACTACACTCTGATAGAGGTCAAACAGATGAAAATTAAGACTAAGCCCGAAAAAGAACAAGTTGAAGACGCACAAAAGCGAGCGCAACAATATATGACCAATTAGCTTAAAATTTTAGACAAAAGTAGTCTAAATTTCTATCCAAGTTCGAAACATGAGAAGGAAACATTCTTTCAGATTAAAAACAAACTGAATATTAAATTTAAATAGCGTTGATAGTCGGACCTTAACTGCATATGAGCCAACGGAGCTGAACACGGAGATGTCAGAATTTTCCAACGGAGCAACAGTGGTAACGATGAGAGTAAGCAGATTTTATGTTGTAGTAACCACGCGCCACGCGTCAAACATAGAAAAAAGCGGGTAATACGTGTTTGTAAGGGTTAATGTGTATGCAATTATGATAATACCCTCCTGACCTATTTTACAACAGGATGCATTAGTAGTAGGAATTTTCTCCTCTTCCACTTCGGATTAATCTCTCAACTACAAATACACCTTTTCCGTTCTTCGTCTGTTTGGAATAATAAATCCCAGAGTCATCACACTTTTTGAGAGAAGATGGACCTAGTTGATGATGATAATAACGAGGAGTTCAGAAAATACTACGAACGAGCCAGAAATCTTGCTTTGAAAAGGCAAGAGGGCCTTGCCAAAACTTTTCCAGAGTCAATTGCTTCGCTAATTGCCATTTCCCGTCCAAATAATTTAACTAATCCAAGTTGTGTATCTGGAGAGTCACAACAGGTTGTCTTCACAGAGATGGGGGAGTTTGTCTCAGGTCTTCAGTTTGATGAATTAGACGAACAAAAACACGTTGATGTGCTGCCAAATCCCTCAATCGAGGAAAAGGAGCCTTCTGTAAAGGAGGAGGAAACGGGAATAGCTCCAGATGAGACGATACGTGAAGTTCCAATTGGAAAGGGTTTGTCAGTAGCTCTCAAACGTCTGAGAGAACGAGGTACACTCAAGGAAGATATTGAATGGGGTGGTCGAAACACGGACAAGAAGAAAAGCAAGCTCGTAGGCGTTGGTGGCGATCAGGTGGAAGGGGAAAAAGTAATACACATTGAGAGGACTGATGAGTATGGGCGAATTCTAACTGAAAAGGAGCAATTTCGGTTGCTTTCCCATCAATTTCATGGGAAGGGGCCTGGAAAGAAGAAGCAAGAAAAACATATGCGGCAATACCAGCAGGAGCTCAAGATAAAAAGGATGAATAATTCATATTAAAACAGGGCAAACTAGTGGTTTTGCTACGGCTGATAAGAAGGTTGAACACTTTTAGCGCAAGGCTGAGTCAGGAGAATATCCTCACTGCGTTCAATTCCGCAATGTATGATTTATATTCTAATCATATTTTGTTTTAAATTGGTGTTGTTTAGTTGCTTTTTCCTTAGATTCACCTGGAGTTTTACAATTGCAGCTGATTGATTTGATGATTTGGCATGTCATGATGTTACATTTTGATTATTTCTTTTTGTTTATTTAAAATGATTTTTGAACTGGAGAGGGGTGGTGGTGGAGACTGGTGCATTTAATTTTGTTCTACGTTCCTTGCCGTGTTGCATTTCAAAATTAATCTCTAATATCTTTGATAATCTGATATATGCAGAGGTATTTGTATTGGCTAATAGGAAAATGAGCAATACTGCGTTTTTTATTGTTCTGAGAGTAGTTGTTCATATCCATGATGTCGGGTTCTGTCAACAATATCAACTTTTTATCAGAATATAGTCAAAAGAATGAATGTAAGACTTATTGAAGTTATGACATTCAGATGACTACAGGAAAAAATGTGTACTTATGACAATTTAAAAAGAATCTCTTGATATGTTTCTCAATGAGATTAATTTATTAAACTTACCGTAATCCTATTGTGTATACTCATGCAAATTCAGCTTATACAGTTTTTTCTACAGAGTTTTACACAAAAGTTGCCTGCTGCCCTTTCAGTTTTAAGAGTAAGCTTAGTTAGCGGTCTGCCGGTCTCTATTATTGAAGTCAATATTGGAAGCCTACGGGCAATTCTAACATTCAGGGTAAACAGAAAACCAATAGATCATTCTAAGAAATTGGGAATTCTTTAATAGTACTCCATACAGTAGCTTCGTCTTTACAATCTAGTTGAATATCCAAGCCACTCAAAGAATAAAGAAGAAGGGAGGATCTCCTAGGAGTCACCTGACTTATTTCCTTCTCCTCTACAGGTAATGATTGTGTTATGTGTTTGTCTTTTTTAACGAATGATGACCAATTTACTTCTGATTTCATCGTGGAATTTTTTTATTCTTTTCTTCTGCAATCTTATTTAATGCACCATCAGTATGGATTATACATCAATTTTTCATTAGGAAAACTTTTTTGTCGGGTTTACACGGATATATTTGATCCCGTGAGTTTGATTGGAGAAGAAAGTCATAACTCATAACTGTTGAGGTTTTATTTTTTTTTAAGATGTAATATTCTTAAAATGAGGGTGAATGGGAAATGGAGGGAAAATGAAATTTTGAGTAAAATTTTAAGTTTCCCCCTCTTAACAATGAGACATTGTCCCATATTGGAAGTGGAAGACATTTTTGGTGGGTATATATATAATTGCTCTTCTTGTAGCTCTTAAAGAGTTAAGAAGAAAGCAAGCCTCGCGCCGTCGTCGTCGTCNGCTCGCTCGCCTTCGGCTACGGCTACGGCTTCGGCTTCGGCTTCGGCTTCGGTCAAATGATTGATTGATTAATTTTTTGGACCAAATTTATTTGTTAATAGTAAATATTAACGTAAGATTATCCGTATTTGTAAACGGATATTTTCCAATCCGTGTATTGATAATTTGGCAGCCGGATAATGGTCTTCCCACCATGAAGTGCTTGCTCCACAAACATGAAGTGCTTGCTCCACAAACATGTAATGCTTGCTCCACCATGAAGGGTGGACGTTTGGTCTTGCACTCCTTCTTGGCTGCTATATATATGAGCAGCAAATGTTGAAGAAAGATACTCAACTCAACATACAATTCGCTCAACAAATTGGCTATACATTGCACTCCTTCCTCTCAGAACTTCCATACGTTTTTCTGAGTATATACTCCTTCGTTCTGCATTGTTTTTAACTTCAAACAAAGCAACTGTAAGTGTGATTTGCTACCGAACTTTGTGTTCGCCGAAACACTGGGGTTTGAAGTACCGCTACACCAGTGTGTTATTCGTTCTATCCTGGGAGGAAATAATCCATTACCTTGGGTACTAGGAGGGGATTAAATTCCTTAAGGAAACACTGTGAATTCAGTGGGCTCGAATTTATTATTATTGTTTCATTACGTTAACTTATATTTTGCAGAATTAATATTTACAAATACAGGAATATTGACCGGGAATAACAATAACTTCTATTAGTATTTTCAAGAACAAAATGCAGCACATCTTCTAGCTAATTCAGTGTATTTCTATCTTATTTCAATTTAATTTAGTGCAGTTCTATCCTATCTCATGACCCACCCTTCGGTGTTCCCATAATTTTATCATATCTTGATTTAAATATCATCATTCAAAATTACACAAGTACATGTCTTACTTTTTATGTGAAAGATTACAATCATGACAGGAGGAAGAAAAATCCTGTACAAGATGAAGGCCAGTGGTCTGAATAATTTGTTCCTTGTTTTGATTGCTTAAGCTGTGTTTTAGATGCTTAACCCTATTGCTGAATGATGCAGGGCGTACATGTCAAGTGTATGCATGTATTTGGCGCATTTTGTGTTAGTCTCAAGGTTTTGTTTCTTTGGTCATTGAGGTCTTCTTTAATTCATAAGGATCACAGTTGGTGGAATAAATAAATCTGAATATCTTGACATAGTAATAGATTATAGCAGCAAATCAGTACAGAAAGCTCTAGTATATGCAAGCAAACATGAATGGAAATAACCTATTTGTACGGTCAAACGGTAAATTTAGGCAAGCATGTGTAATGTCATGGGCGGCTTTCCAACCATGTCCCATGACCCCTTGGACGCGCCCCGTGGCGTCCTGGCCAGCCTCCCAACGCCCGTCGCCATGGTCGGCCCCGTGGTCTCGGTAGCTCCAAGTGACAAGCG